CTAATCCTTAAAAGATTTTAGGGTTACCTGTTCAGAAGGTGGAATGATTAGAGTAGCCAAAAGCCCCATTTAAAAAAAAAAATCAAGGAAGAAGAAAGAGTACATGAAGTTATCAGAAAAAAGTGATGGGGAGATATGGGAGGAGTTGGAGGGGAGGGAATGGGCATGGATTTGATCAAAACACCTTATATGCCATGTATGAAATTCTCAATAAATTATTTATTAAAAAAATCCAGCAACTTGCTAATTACATTATTAGTTAAATGTTACTAACCCTCACCAAATATTTAAGATAAGCAAATTTAAACTGTTCTGGAATGCTTTGCCATGCATTGGGCAGGGATAGGAAGGTAGAGGCAGAACTTCCTGAGATCAGGGGTGCAAGGGTGGATGTTAACTCTTCTCTTTTCCTCTTACGGTCTTACTTAATTATAAAAAATGAGGTAGCTGTTTTAAAAGTGCTTAAATTTTCCTAATATTTATAATGTTGAAAAATTAATTGGGAGGCCTTTAGGCTAGAATAGTTCTAGTGTCTCAAGTTCTGATGTATGAAAAAAACCTAAACACAACACACTATAAACAGTAAGGCAAAAACTTAATCAGTAAAAATTCAGCATATAATCTAGACACTTTACCAGTCAAAAGTTGCCAACTAAACTCTACTGAGGACTCATCCCTTCAAGAAACAAAACATCTCTTTTTTTGTCTTACTGCTTTAAACACCCTTTAAATAATGTTCTCCTGCTACTCTGGTTACTCTTCACTGTCAACTTGCCTGGGTTTAGATTCACTTAGGAGATTGGTGAGGTGTACCTTTGGGTATGTCTCTGAGGATGTTTCCAGAGAGGATTAACTGTAGGAGGAAAGATCCACCAAGTATGGGAACCCAGATAGAATAAAAGAGGACAACAGAGAAAGTCAGTTGAGTGCTAGCTTGTTTGCTTGCTGGCTATGGTTCCTGGTTGGCATATGGTCCCCAAACCCTTATAATCTGACAAAGTGACCATAAAATTCAAGCCCCTAAAACCATGAGCCAAAAATTCTTCCCTTAAGCTGGTTCTGTGAAATTTTAAGTTACAGAATTGAAAAGCTAACTAATGTACTTGGTAAAGCCCTAAACCACCTGTGGCCTGGTATTTCTTAATTTCATGAATTTTAAAAAAATATTTTATTTATTATATTTATTTTATGTGTATGTGTGTATTGCCTGCATGAAGGTAAATGCACCCGTGTGGTGCAGTGACCGTGGAGGACAGAAGAGACTGTCGGATCCCCTGTTGGAACTGGAGTTACGGACAGTTGTTAGTTGCCATGTGGGTGCTGGGATTCAAACTCGGGTCTTCTCCAGCCCCAATTTCATGAGTTTAAGCTGAATGCACAAATAACCTTCTGATAGTTCTGATGCTGGGAAGAAGGACTTAAAGGGGACTACTTTATAATGAAGACCCTTAGGAGCAACGAGCAAGCCTGGGACAGGTATACCCTATGTTCACTGCTTCTGGTTGTACATTTGTAGGTCACCACAAAAGTCACTCTCAGAGCGCAGTTCTGCCATCTGATTTGAGCGTTTTGCTCCAGACAAGATCTGTGAGATCTAGACTGAGTTTGACATAAACCAGACAGTCTAGCAGGAAGCCTTAGGAAAATGAAATTTTGGGGAGAAATGGAATTGTGGGTTCTCCTAAATTCACAAAGTCTAGAACTCCTCAATCTCAAACACCAACTGATTTTAGGCATAAACTATACAGACTCAGAAGCTGTGCTTTTCATGAGAAATGACTAAACCTTTCTAAAGAAAATTTATAATTATAGTGGCCAAATGGGGCAGTTTCAACTTAGACAAATTACCCATTGGTAGGGCACAATGGATAAAAAGGGGGACTGGCACATTTCCTGTCTTGGCACCCCACACCTCTTGGCCAAAACTCTCCACTGCTTCCTGATCCTTTGTATCCAGACCAAACCAACTGTTCCCTTTACTCCCCACCTCCCTTTGCATCTCTGGGTGGCCCAGCCCCACAGCTTCCTGGAGCCAGCAGCTTTCCTGAGTAAGTCTGGCTGCTAAGCCCACTGTGCCTTGATTCCCCGGCCTCATTCACCCTCCCAGCTCCCCCACCCCACCTCTCCTCCTAGCAGAGGGACTGGCACATTTCCTGTCTTGGCACCCCAGACCTCTGGACTGACCTCTTAGCCCAAACTCTCCACTGCTTCTTGATCCTTTGCACCCAGACCAACCCAATTCTTCCCTCTAGTCCTCAGGAGCCCTTAGGCCTCTTCTCGTCCCCACCTCCCTTTGCATTCCTGGGGGCCAGCATCTTTCCTGGGCCCTGTTCCCAGGCCAACCCAGCCCTCACATTTTTGAGGCCAGCATCTTTCCTGTAGGGATCCAGACCTTGGGTGAAAGCCTGAGAGCATCCAATCCTCATCTGACTTGGGCCTCTCTGGGAACTCTTGAGCAGCAAGATGAAAGAAATCTGGCCACTCCAATACAAAATCAAAAGGGAGAACCTGAAGCCTAAACCAACCAGCTTTTCATACCCAACAAGTAAACCACAAAGGCACATACAATATACAAAAAGAAGCAGACCTAAACTCAACAAAGGAAGGCTTGAGTCTCATACAAGAACGAGAATCTACAAAAGAAATCCACATGTCAAAGTCATAGAGAAAAAATAATAACATAAAAAAACCAAAACAATATATCCCCACCAAGTACCAACAGTCCTCTAGAGGAGTACAATGAGAACGCCTAGAGATAACACAGGACACGGAACTCAAAGAACAATTATGAATATGATAAAAGAATTCAGTGAATTTAAAGAACACACAAAAAAAGAAATCAAAGAACTGAAAATAAGATAGGGATAAACTTCTGAATGAAT